GAATGGGGCACTTTTTGGCAATTAGCGAGTCATTTTCCAGCTGGATACATGCGCCGGCCCCAGCCAACTCCAACTCGTTAGTGCTCCGGCGTCTACAGCAGCCCCGCGGTCCTGTGATTTAATTAAACGGCCCATATCACAATCTCCACCAAAAAACTTCAGGTCAGCAACATCCGCCGCAGAATGGATTGTCCACGGCCCCTTGTACCGCGCGGCCTCTGCCAAGTCTGGCTGAAAGTGCTTCTAGAAGTGGTTCGCGGCGCCGGAGTCGTGACATTTTGGGAGTTATCGAGCAGAAAAGGGACAAAGTAGGAGGCAGGGTTTAGTCTGGAGTAATGTCATGTACAGTGAGGAAGAGGACGGTGGGTCTACGGGAGGAGGAAGAGTGATTTGAATCCAGGCTAAAAGACGATATCCTATTAGCGTGTGTTCATTAGCATTTGGGGCGAAAGCGTTCAATCTTTAATGTGAGTGAGTTAGCACGTGCCATATAATCCAACTATGTACTTTTAGCCCCGGGGTATACGGTATTTTTAGCTTGTTATTTTTATTTTATTTTTTTTAGCTTATTTTTAGCTCTAAGGACCTATGGTTTTGTTATTATTGCTTTTATACTCACTTCTTTATTATGCTAAAGATAGAGATTCTATACTAGCTTCTTTATTATGCTAAAGATAGAGATTTTATACTAGTTTCTTTATTATGCTAAAGCTAGAGATTTTATACTAGCTTCTTTATTATGCTAAAGATAGAGATTTTATACTAGTTTCTTTATTATGCTAAAGCTAGAGATTTTATACTAGCTTCTTTATTATGCTAAAGCTAGAGATTCTATGCTAGCTTCTTTATTATGCTAAAGATAGAGATTCTATACTAGCTTCTTTATTATGCTAAAGATAGAGATTTGATACTAGCTTCTTTATTATGCTAAAGCTAGAGATTTTATACTAGCTTCTTTATTATGCTAAAGCTAGAGATTCTATACTAGCTTCTTTATTATGCTAAAGCTAGAAATTTTATACTAGCTTCTTTATTATGCTAAAGCTAGAGATTTTATACTAGCTTCTTTATTATGCTAAAGCTAGAGATTTTATACTAGCTTCTTTATTATGCTAAAGTTAGAGATTCTATACTAGCTTCTTTATTATGCTAAGGCTAGAGATTTTATACTAGCTTCTTTATTATGCTAAAGCTAGAGATTCTATACTAGCTTCTTTATTATGCTAAAGCTAGAGATTTTATACTAGCTTCTTTATTATGCTAAAGCTAGAGATTTTATACTAGCTTCTTTATTATGCTAAAGCTAGAGATTTTATACTAGCTTCTTTATTATGCTAAAGATAGAGATTCTATACTAGCTTCTTTATTATGCTAAAGATAGAGATTCTATACTAGCTTCTTTATTATGCTAAAGATAGAGATTCTATACTAGCTTCTTTATTATGCTAAAGATAGAGATTTTATACTAGCTTCTTTATTATGCTAAAGCTAGAGATTTTATACTAGCTTCTTTATTATGCTAAAGCTAGAGATTTTATACTAGCTTCTTTATTATGCTAAAGCTAGAGATTTTATACTAGCTTCTTTATTATGCTAAAGCTAGAGATTTTATACTAGCTTCTTTATTATGCTAAAGCTAGAGATTTATACTAGCTTCTTTATTATGCTAAAGCTAGAGATTCTATACTAGCTTCTTTATTATGCTAAAGCTAGAGATTTTATACTAGCTTCTTTATTATGCTAAAGCTAGAGATTCTATACTAGCTTCTTTATTATGCTAAAGCTAGAGATTTTATACTAGCTTCTTTATTATGCTAAAGCTAGAGATTTTATACTAGCTTCTTTATTATGCTAAAGCTAGAGATTTTATACTAGCTTCTTTATTATGCTAAAGTTAGAGATGTTAGACTAGCTTCTTTATTATGCTAAAGCTAGAGATTTATACTAGCTTCTTTATTATGCTAAAGCTAGAGATTTTATACTAGCTTCTTTATTATGCTAAAGCTAGAGATTTTATACTAGCTTCTTTATTATGCTAAAGCTAGAGATTTTATACTAGCTTCTTTATTATGCTAAAGCTAGAGATTTTATACTAGCTTCTTTATTATGCTAAAGCTAGAGATTTTATACTAGCTTCTTTATTATGCTAAAGCTAGAGATTTTATACTAGCTTCTTTATTATGCTAAAGCTAGAGATTTTATACTAGCTTCTTTATTATGCTAAAGCTAGAGATTTTATACTAGCTTCTTTATTATGCTAAAGCTAGAGATTTATACTAGCTTCTTTATTATGCTAAAGCTAGAGATTTTATACTAGCTTCTTTATTATGCTAAAGCTAGAGATTCTATACTAGCTTCTTTATTATGCTAAAGCTAGAGATTCTATACTAGCTTCTTTATTATGCTAAAGCTAGAGATTTTATACTAGCTTCTTTATTATGCTAAAGCTAGAGATTTTATACTAGCTTCTTTATTATGCTAAAGCTAGAGATTTTATACTAGCTTCTTTATTATGCTAAAGCTAGAGATTCTATACTAGCTTCTTTATTATGCTAAAGTTAGAGGTTTTATACTAGCTTCTTTATTATGCTAAAGCTAGAGATTTTATACTAGCTTCTTTATTATGCTAAAGTTAGAGATTCTATACTAGCTTCTTTATTATGCTAAAGCTAGAGATTTTATACTAGCTTCTTTATTATGCTAAAGCTAGAGATTTTATACTAGCTTCTTTATTATGCTAAAGTTAGAGATTCTTATACTAGCTTCTTTATTATGCTAAAGCTAGAGATTTTATACTAGCTTCTTTATTATGCTAAAGCTAGAGATTTTATACTAGCTTCTTTATTATGCTAAAGCTAGAGATTTTATTATAGCTTCTTTATTATGCTAAAGTTAGAGATTCTATACTAGCTTCTTTATTATGCTAAAGTTAGAGATTTTATACTAGCTTCTTTATTATGCTAAAGCTAGAGATTTTATACTAGCTTCTTTATTATAGCTTCTTTATTATGCTAAAAGCTAGAGATTTTATACTAGCTTCTTTATTATTGCTAGAGAGATTTTATACTAGCTTACTATTATGCTAAAGCTAGAGATTTATACTTCTTTATTATGCTAAAAGCTAGAGATTTATAGATTTTATTACTAGCTTCTTTTTTATACTAGCTTCTTAAAGCTAAAGCTAGATATTTTATACTTAGCTGTCTTTATTATGCTAAAGCTATAGCTTGTATACTAGCTTCTTTATTATGCTAAAAGCTATAGATGGGTTAACTTTCTTTTTTATGCTAAAGATTTAGCATTTTATACGTAGATTATTTATTATGGCTAAAGCTAGAGATTTTATTACTAGCTTCTTTATTATGCTAAAGTTAGAGATTTTATACTAGCTTCTTTTATTATGCTAATGCTTTTATACTACGCTAATTTCTTATGCTAAAGCTAGAGATTTTATACTAGCTTCTTTATTATGCTAAAGCTACTAGATTATGCTAAAAGCTAGAGATTTTATACTAGCTTCTTTATTATGCTAAAAGCTAGAGATTTTATACTAGCATCTTTATTATGCTAAAGCTATAGATTTTATACTAGCTTCTTTATTATGCTAAAGCTAGAGATTTTATACTAGCTTACTTTATTTATGCTAAAGCTAGAGATTTTATACTAGCTTCTTTATTATGCTAAAGCTAGAGATTTTATACTAGCTTCTTTATTATGCTAAAGCTAGAGATTTTATACTAGTTCTTTATTATGCTAAAGCTAGAGATTTTATACTAGCTTCTTTATTTATGCTAAAGCTAGAGATTTTATACTAGCTTCTTTATTATGCTAAAGCTAGAGATTTCTATACTAGCTTCTTTATTATGCTAAAGCTATAGATTTTATACTAGCTTCTTTTATTATGCTAAAGCTACGAGATTTTGATATATAGGCTTCTTTATTATGCTAAAGCTAGAGCATTTTATACTAGCTTCTTTATTATGCTAAAGCTAGAGATTTTATACTAGCTTCTTTATTATGCTAATAGCTAGAGACTTTATACTAGCTTCTTATTATGCTAAAGCTAGAGATTTTATACTAGCTTCTTTATTATGCTAAAGACTAGAGATTATATACTAGCTTCTTTATTATGCTAAAGCTAGAGATTTTATACTAGCTTCTTTATTATGCTAAAGCTAGAGATTTTATACTAGCGTCTTTATTATGCTAAAGCTAGGAGATTTTTTACTAGATTCTTTATTATGCTAAAGCTAGAGATTTTATACTAGCTTCTTTATTATGCTAAAGCTAGAGATTTTATGTCTAGCTTCTTTATTATGCTAATGCTAGAGTTTTTCATACTAGCTTCTTTATTATGCTAAAGCTAGAGATTTTTTACTAGCTTCTTTATTATGCTAAAGCTAGAGATTTTATTCTAGCTATGATTTATTATGCTAAAGCTAGAGATTTATACTAGCTTTACTTTATTTATGCTAAAGCTAGAGGGGTTTTACTAGCTTCTTTATTATGCTAAAGCTAGAGATTTTATACTAGCTTCTTTGATTATGCTAAAGCTAGAGATTTTTATACTAGCTTCTTTATTATGATATAAGCTATGTAGACGTTTTCTACTAGCTTCGTTATTATGCTAAAGCTAGAGATTTTATACTAGCTTCTTTATTATTGCTAAAGATAGAGATTTTATACTAGCTTCTTTATTATGCTAAAGCTATCGATTTTATACTAGCTTCTTTATTATGCTAAAGCTAGAGATTTTATACTAGCTTCTTTATTATGCTATAAGCTAGAGATTTTATACTAGCTTCTTTATTATGCTAAAGCTAGAGATTTTATACTAGGCTTCTTTTATTATGCTAAAGCTAGAGATTTGGATACTAGCTTATCTTATTATGCTAAAGCTAGATGTTTTTTTAATAGCTTCTTTATTATGCTAAAGCTAGAGATTTATACTAGCTTCTTTATTATGCTAAAGCTAGAGATTTTATACTAGCTTCTTTATTATGCTGGGGGGGTGGGGGGTGTGGGGGGGGGGGGGGGTGGGTGGGTGGGGGTGGGGGGGTGGGGGTGGGGTGGTGGGGGGGGGGGGGGTGGGGGGTGTGGGGGGGGGGGGGTTGGGGGGGTTGGGGGGGTGGGGGGGGTGGGGGGGGGGGGGGGGGGGGGGGGGGGGGGGGGGTGGGGGGGGGGGGGGGGGGGGGGTGGGGGGGGGGGGGGGGGGGTGGTTGGGGGGGGGGGGGGGGGGGGGGGGGGGGGGGGGGGGTGGGGGGTGGGGGGGGGGGGGGGGTGGGGGGGGGGTGGGGGGGGGGGGGGGTGGGTGGGTGGGGGGTTTTGGTGGGTTGGGTTTGGGTTTGGTTGATGTTTGGGTTGTGGTTATGTAGTGTTGTTTTATTGGATTTGGTATTTGTTTGTTTGTGTTAGGGGGTGTTGGGGGAGGGGGGGGGTGGGGGGGTTTGTTTGGTGTAGTGGTGTGAGGGGAGGATGGGGGTGGGGGGGGAATTTTTGGGGGGGTTGGGGGGGGGATTGTAGGGGTGGGTGGGTGGGGGGGTGTTTTTGTGGTTAGGGGGGGTGGTGTGTGGGGGTTTATGGGAGTGGGAATTGATTATTATGTTGTGGGTGGGGGGGGGGTTATGGTGGGGGTGGTTGGGTGTTGTTGGTTGTGGGGGTGGGGATTGGGGGGTGGGGGGGGGGGTGATGATGGGTGGGTTGGGGGGGTTGATTGGTTTGGGGTGGGGGGGGGGTGGGGGTGGTGATGTGGGGGGGGGGGGGGGTGGGGGGTGGGGTGGTGGTGTGTGGGGAGAGGTAGGGGTTATTGTGGGTGGGGGGGGTGAGGGAGAGTATGATGAGGGGGGGGATGTTTGTGATGAATAAGGTTTAATTATGGGGAGAGTATGGGGGGTAATGGGGGGGGGTATGTGATGTTGTGTGGGTTGTATGTGGTGGTGGGGGGTGTGTGGGGGGGGGGGTAGGTGGGTGGGGTGGGGGGGGGTTGGGGGGGTTGGTGGGGGGGGGGGGGGGGGGGGTGTATGTGATTTGGGGGTGTAGGGGGGTGAGTATGGTATATAGGGGGGGTGAGGGTTGAGTTTTGGGATGGGGAGGGGGGGGGGGGGGGTGTTGGTGTGATGGGGGGGGGAGATTGTGTGGGATGGTGAATGGGTTGTTTGGGAGGGGTATTGGGTGGTATGGGGGGTGGATTTTGGGGGTTGGGGGGGGATGGGTTGGGGGGGGGTGGGTGGATGGGGGTAGGTGGGGGTTGGTGGTGGTTAAGATGTGGGGTATTGGGTGTGATGGGGGGGGGGGTAGGGGTTGGTTTGTGGGGGGGGTGTGGGGGTGTAGGGGTGTAGTGGGGGGTATTGTGGGGGGTGTGGGGGGTGATTGGTATGTAGTGTATGTGTATGGGATGGGGATATGGGGAGTGGATGGTGTAGGGGGGGGGGGGGGGGGAGTTGGGGGTGGTTGTGGGAGGGGGGGGTTGGTTGGGGTGTGTGTGGAGTTTGGGGATTGGATTGTTTGTGGGTATGGGGGGTGTTGTTTTTTATGTTGTGGGGTTGAGTGTGGGGGGGGTATGGGGGTGATGTTGGGTTTAGGTGTTTATTTTGGGTGGGTGGGGGTTTTGTGGGATATGGGTTAGGTGTGGTGGGTTGTGTGGAGGGGGGGGGGTGGGGTATGGTGGGTTGGTGGGGGTTTTAGTGGGGGGGGGGGGGGTGGTGGGTGGGGGTGGTGGGGGGTTGGGGGGTTGGGGGTTATGATTGGGGGTGGGGGGGGGTGGTGTTGTGTTATGTGGGGGGGTGATTGAGAGGTAGATAGGGGGGGGGGGGGGGGTGGGGTTAGTGGGTGATGAGGTGGTGTTTAGGGGGTGTGTGGGGGGGGTATGGAGTTTGTGGGGGATAGTATGGGGTGTGGTGGGGTATGGGGGTGGGGGTGGTATGGGTTGGGATGTGGGTGGGGGGGGGGGTGTGATGGGGTGTTGGTGGGTGGAGTGTTGGTGGATTAGGGGGGTTGTGGGATAGGGGGGGGGGGGGGGGGTGGGTAGGTTGGTGTGTTGTGTTGTGGGGGGGGGTATATGTAGGGGGGGTGGAGGGGGGGGGTAGGGTTAGGGGTGGGGGGGGGGGGGGGTATGGGGATTTAGGGGGGTGGATGTTTGTGGGTAAGTGTAGGTTGATTGGGTGGGGGGGTGGGGAGTGTGGATATGTGGGGTGTGTAAATAGTTGTGGTGAGTTTGGGGGGGGTTGGTTATGGGTGGGTTGGGGGGGGGGTGTGGGGGGGGGGTGTGGGGGTGGGGGGGTGGGTTGTGAGGGGGGGGGGTGGAAGAGAAGTATTTTTGTTTTGGGATGGGTGGGGAGGTATGGGGGTTTTGGTGGTGTTGTGTGGGGGGGTGGGGGGGGGTAAGGGGGGGGGGGGTATGGGGGATTAGTTGTGGGTGGGGGATGGGGTGGGGGATAGGGTGGGGTTGTAGAGGTTATGTGGGGGTTTGGGGAGTTGTAGTGGGGGATGGTGGGTTTTGGGGGGTTGGGGGTGTAGGGGTGGGGATGAGGGGGGTTAGGTGTTGGGTTGTAGTGGGGAGTGGGGGGTTTTGTTGGTAAGTTGGAGGGTTGAGGTGTTTTTTGGGGATGGAGGGGTGTAGGGGGGATATGGTGGGGTAATATGTTTGGGTTGGGTGGGTGAGGGGGTTGGGAGGTGGGAGGGTGGGTGGTGGGGGGGGGGGGGTTTTTGGTGTTTGGGGGGGGGTTGGTGGGTGGGGGGGGGTTTGGTGGGGGGGGAGGTTTTGGGTGTGGTAGTGGTTGTTTGGTGGTGGGGGGGAGGTGGTGGTGGGTTTTTGGGGTGGGGTGGGTGGTGTGGGTGGGGGGGGGTTGGGGGGGTGGGGGGGGGGGTGGGGGGGTGGTGTTGGGGGGTTTTGTTGGTGGGGGGGTTGGTTAGGGGGTTTTGTGGGGTTTTTTGGGGGGGGATTGGGGGTTGGTGGGTGGGGGGGGGGGGGGTGTTTGGTGTGTGGGGTGTGGGTGGGGGGTGGGGGTTTGGGGGGGTTATGGGGGTGTAGTGAAGGTTTGGGGGTTGGGGGGGAATTGGGGGGTGGGGGGTTGGGTGTGGGTTTTTGTGGTGATATTGTGTGTAGGGGGTGGGTTTGGGGGTGTGGAATGTGGGGGTATGTGTGGGGGGGGGGATGGGTGGGAATGGTTGTTAGGGTTGAATTGGGGGGGGTTTGTGGGGATGGGGGGGGGTTAGGGGGGTTGGGATAGGTGGTTGGGGGTTAATGTGGGGGGGGGGGGGTATTTTGTGGTGAAAGGTGTGTAATGGTGGGTTAATGGGAGGTTGTATGTTGGTGGGATATGGGGGGGGGTTTATGTGGGTGGGTGTAATGGGGTGGGGTTTTTGGTTTTAATTGGTTGTGTATATGTGGTGGTTGGTATATTGGTGTGTGGTATTGTGTGGGAAGTTGGGTATGGGGGTGTTGAATGTGGTGGTGAAGGGTGGTTGATGTGTTGGGTTATGGGGTTGTATTTGTTGGGTTTGGGGGTGGGGGATATGGGTGGGGGTGATTGGTGGGGGTGTGTTGTGGGGGGTAATTGGGGGGTGTATGGATGTTGTATTGGGGGTGAATGGTGGGGTAAGGTGTGAGTGTTTGGTGGGGGTGTTATGTTTGGGTGTGGTGGGTTTTAGGGTGGTGGTAATTGTGTGGGTATGTTGGGGGGGGGTAATTGGGGGGTGGTGATGTTGTGGTTTGTGGGGTTTGGTGGTGGTTAGGTGGGGATAGGGGTGGGGGATTGGGGTATTGGGGGGGGGGGGGGGTGGGGTATTGGGGGGTTATATTTTGGGGGAATGGGTGGGTAGGGGGTGTGGTAATTGTGGTGTTAATGTTGTGTGTATTTGGGTGGTATGTGGTGGGTGGGAAGTGGGGGTGTTGGTGTGTGGTAATTGGGGGGTGGGAATGGGGGTTGAATTGGGGGTGGTGAGTTTGGTGCTGGGGGGGGATAGTGGGGGTTGTGTTGGGTGGGGGTAAGGGGGGGGATATGTGGGGGTTTTTTTGTGGTATGGGGTTGTGTGGGGGTTTGTGGGGGGGATGTTATGGTGGGGGGGGTGGGGGAAGGGGGTGGGAGTGGTGTGGGGTGTTTGGGTGGTTTTGGGTGGGGGGGGGGGGGGTAGAGGTGGTGGGGGGGGGGGGGTGTGGTTTTGTGGGAGTTGTGGTTGTAGGGGGGTGGGAAGGTGGATATTTGTGGTAATTGGTGGATGATTGGGTGTGGGGGTAATTTGGGTTGAATTGGGTATTGGGTTTGGGGTGTCATTTGGTGTGGAAGGGTGTGGTAATGTGGGTGTTTGGGGGGATTGGTGTTAGGGGGTTTTGTGGGTTTTATTTGTGGTAGTTGGGGGGGGGGGGGGTTAGGGGGGGTGTTGTATTGGGTGGTGGAATTTGGGTGGTGGGTGGGGGAATGGGTGGTTTTTTGTGAATGGGGGGGTGGGGGTGGGGTATGGGGGGGGGGGTTATGTTGTGGGGTTTGGGTTGTTGTTGGGGTTATGATTGGGGGTGGGTGGTTGTTTTGGGGGGTATAGGGGGGGGTGGTTTAGGGGGGTATTTGTGGTGGGGGGGGTGGTGGGTGGGTGTGTTTGGGGGGGGGGGGGGGGGGGGGGAAGGGGGTTATGGATTTTGGAGTGTTTGTAGTATGGGAAATGTGTGTTGGGGGGGTATTGGGGGGGGGGGGTGTGGTTTTTGGGTTGTGGTTGGGGTGGGGGGGGGTTTTGGTGGTGTATGGGTGAGGGGTTTGGTGGGTTGGTGTTGGGTTGTGGAGGGGTTGGTTGGGGGTTGTGGAGTGTGGGGGGGTGGGGGGTGGGGGGGTTGGGGGGGGGAGGTAGTGGGGTTTTTGGGGGTGGTTGGGGGGGGATGGGGTGGGGGGGGGGTTTTTGGGGGTGGGTTTGTGAGAGATTAGTATTTGTTGTGTGGGGTGTGGGGGGTGGGGGGGGATATGGGGGTGTATAATTGGTAGTGGAAGTGGGTGTAGGAGGTGAGGGGGGGGGGAGGGGTATGAGAGTTTGGTTTATGTTTTGATGGATATAGGGTGGTGAAAATTGTTGGTATATAAGTGGGTTAGGAGGTTGTTGGGTGGGTGGGGGGGGTTGTGGAAGGTTGGGGGGGGGGGTGGGGGTTGGATAGGTTGGGGGAAGGGGGAGTATGAGTTTAGTTTTGTTAGGGTATAGGGAAATGGGGGGGGATGGGTTGAGGGTGAAGGAGGGGGGGAAGGGGATTAATGGATAGTTTTACGGAAGGGGAAATGATGGGGATGGATGGGATGAGGTATGGGAAGAGAGGGGGGGGGAAGAGAGAGGAGAGAGAGAAAGGGGAAGAGAGAAAGAGAGAGTGAGTTTAGAAGAGGGGGGAAGAGAGGGGGGGGGGGAGGGGAGAGGGGAGAGAGTGGGATAGAGGGGGGGGGAGTGATATAGATGATTGAGAAGGGGAGAGAGAGGGGGGGGAGAGAATGGGGAGAGTATGTGGTAATGAGAGGGGGGGGAGAGAATGGGGGTGAGAGGGGAGAGTGTGTTGATTGATAAGAGTGAGAGGAAGTGGGGGGGGAGAGAGAGGGGGGAGAGGGGGAATAGAGGGGGGGTATGGGAGGGGGGAGTGTGTAGGGGGGAGTGAGGGGGGGGTGAGTGTAGGGGGGGGTGTGGGGTGTGTGGGGGTTGATGGTGTTGGGGGGGGGTATTGTGGGGGGGGGGTGATAGTAGAGGGGATATATTGAGGGGAGAGATATTTGGGTTGTGGGTTGGGGGTGGGGGTTGGTGGGAGGGGGGGGTGTGTGGGAGGGGGGGGGGGGGGGTGGGGGATGGGGATTTTGGTGGTGTTATAGGGGGTTTGGGGGTGGTGTGAGGGGGGTGTGGAAGTTTTGGGTATTGTTTGGGTGTAATGTGTGTTGTGGGGGTAGTGATGGTGGTGTTGGGGGTGTGTGTGGGGTGTGTGTAGGGTGATGGGGGGGTGTGTGATGGTGTGTGTTTGGTGTGTGTGTGTGTTGTGGGGTGAGTAGGTGTGTAAGGTGGTGTGTGTGGTAGTGTGTGTGGGGGTGTGTGGTGTGTGTGGGGGGATGTAGTGTGGGTGTGTGTTGGGAGTGTGTGTGGTGTGTGTGTGGTGATTAGTATGTGGGGGGGTGGTGTGTGTGTTGTGTGTGGGTGAGTGTTGGGTAGTGTGAGGGGGGAGTGTGTGGGTGGTGTAGTGGGGGTGAGTGTGTGGAAGTGTGATGGTGTGTGAGTGGGGATGATTGAGTGTGTTGAGTGTGTGAGGGTGAGTGTGTGGGGGGGTGTGTGTGTAGTGAGGGGGGGTTGATGTGTGTGTGTGTGGGGATGTGTTTGGGGATGTGTGTGTGGGGTAGTTGTGGTTTGTGTGTGTGTTGGGATGAGAGAGGGGGGTATTTGTAGGATGGTGTTGTGTGGGGTGAGAGAGTGTTGTGGTAGTGGTAGTAGTGTGGATGAGTGATGAGGTGATTGTTGAGGGGTTGTGTGTGGGGGTGTGTGTTGTGGGGAGTGTAGTGTGGGGGGTGTGTGTAGGGTGTGTGTGTGGGGGTGTGTGTGTGGGTGTGAGTTGATGATGGTAGGGGTGTGTGTTGGGGGGGTGTGTGTGAGGGGGGTGATGTGTGGTGTGTTGTGGGTAGTATGGTGGTGTGATGAGTGGGGAGAGAGATGTGGGGTGTGTGAATGTGGGGAGTGTTGGGAGTGTAGTGGGGGGGGGATGTGTGTGGGTTGGTATGAGAGGGTAGTGTGTGGGGGGTGTGTGAGTGTGTAGTGGGATGTGTGGTTTTGTAGTGTGGTGTGTGAGGGGGATGTTGATAGGAGTTAGGTTAGTGGGGGGTGTGGGGGTGTATGGGGGTTTGTGTGTTGAATTGGAAATTGTTTTTGGGTGGTGTGGTGGGTGGGGGGGGGGGAGGGATGGTTTGGGGGGGTGGTTGGGTTTTGGGTGGTTAGGGGGGGGTGGGGTGTGGGGGTTATGGGGGGATGTGGGGGGAGGGGTTGGGTGTTGGGTGTTGTGGGGGTAGGTGGGTGTTAGGTGGGTGGGTAGATTTATGGGGGTGGGTGTGTGGTAGTGTGGGGTGGTGGTGGGGGTGGGGTGGTGGGGGGGGGGGGGTGGGGTGTTTGGTAGGGGGGTGGGGTGGGGGGGGGGGTTTGGGGGGAGGGGGTGTGTGGGGTGGGGTTGGGTTGGGGGGAGATGGGGGGGTGTTTGGATTGGGTGATGTGGTTAGTGGTGGGTATTGGTAAGGTAGTAGTGGGGTTTGGTGTTTTTGGGTTTGGGTGTTGTATTGGGGATTTTTGGGGATATGTTTTGGGAGTGTGGGGGGGGGGTATATTGGGTAGGAATGGGTGTTGTGTGGGGTAAGATGGGTGATTGGAATGGTATGAGTGTATTGTTGGGGGGTAGGTAATGGGTTTGTGGTGTTGGGGGGGGGTTGGGGGGGTGTTTGGGGGTTTGAGGGGGGGGGTGGTGGTGTGGTGTGGGGTGGGTGGGGGTGGGGGGGGGGGGTGGATGGGGGGGGGGGGATTGGGTGGGGGATGGGGGGGGGGGGGTGGGGGGTAGTGTGTGTGGTGGGGGGTGGTGTTGTTTTTTGGGGGATTTTTGGTTTTTGTGGGGGGTGGGGGGGGTTTTTTTGGGTGTTGGGGTGGGTGGGGTGGGGTGTTATGGTTTTGGGGGGGGTTTTGGGGGGGTGTGTTGGGGGGGTGGGGGTGGGTCTCTCTCTCTCTCTCTCTGGTCTCTCTCTCTGGTCTCTCTCTCTGGTCTCTCTCTCTGGTCTCTCTCTCTGGTCTCTCTCTCTCTCTCTCTCTCTCTCTCTGGTCTCTCTCTCTGGTCTCTCTCTCTGGTCTCTCTCTGGTCTCTCTCTGGTCTCTCTCTCTGGTCTCTCTCTCTGGTCTGCAGCCTGTCCATGTTGTCATCAAGAGAACAATGGTGTGTCATTAAAGGAGACGTTAGAACAAATGTACAGACTGCATTAAAGCAGATCCAGAGGTTTTTGCTGCTGAAGAAAGATGTTTGTGAGAAAAGAGAGATTTAGGTCAAACTGTAAAAAGTCACAGTTTAGTTTGGAGATTTTTGAAGGTACACACTTGATTATCTGTGGTTATTATTTCCTTGTATGCGCACACACAATCAATGACACACACACACACACACACACACACACACAACCATGACACACACACAACAAAACACACACACACACACTGGCCCCTCCCTCTGGTCCTTCTGTTCTCTCTGAGTGTGTTGTCAGTGGTTGTTTGGGGTTAATGGGCGTTGTTTTGAATCATACACACACACACACACACACACACATATATACACAGGCCTCTCCCTCTCTCTCTCCCTCTCTCCCTCCCTCTCTCTCCCTCTCCCCTCTCTCCCTCCCTCCGTCTCTCTCTCTCTCATAAGTTTCATTTCCGTGTCAGTGAAACTGTAGCAGCAGCGATGGCGCAGACAGAGCTCTTCTTGTGTCCTGTGTGTTTGGATTTACTGCAGACTCCGGTCACTCTTCCCTGTGGACACAGCTACTGCCTGAAGTGTGTCCAGGACCACTGGGACACAGAGGAGGAGCAGCGGCTCTACACCTGTCCCGAGTGTCGTGTGAGCTTCACCCCGAGGCCTGTGCTGACCAAGAACATCCTGTTAGCAGCTGTAGTGGAGCAGAGGAGGACAGCGCCCCCTGCTGACCCTCAGGACCTCTGTGCTGACCCTCAGGACCTCTGTGCTGACCCTCAGGACCTCTGTGCTGACCCTCAGGACCTCTGTGGGCCTCAGGACGTGTCCTGTGACGTGTGCTCTGACAGGAAGCTGAAAGCGGTCCAGTCCTGTCTGCAGTGTGTGGCCTCCTACTGTGAGCGCCACCTACAGCCTCATTATGACTCTGCAGTGCTTCAAAGACACCAGCTGGTGGCGCCATCGCACACTCTCCAGGAAAACATGTGCTCTGAGCACAACCAGGTGAAGACCATGTTCTGTCGCACTGACGGACAGCTCCTGTGTTTGGTCTGCTGCCTGGACCAGCACAAGGACCATGAGACTGTGTCCTCAGCCTCAGAGAGGGCCCAGAGGCAGGCACAGCTGGGGGCCCAGAGACACCTGCTCCTCCAGGACGTCCAGCACAGAGACACAGAGCTGAGCTCACTCCAACAGCAGGAGCAGGACATCAGGACCTCTGCCCACACAGCACTGCAGCTCAGCAGGGACAGCTTCAGAGACATGATCCTTCTCCTGGAGACAAGAGCCAAAGAAGTGGAGCAACAGATCCAGTCTGAGGAGGAGAGAGGACTGAGCCGAGTCCGAGAGATCCAAGACCAAGTGAAGCAGGAGCTGAGGGAGCTGAAGAAGAGCCTCTGTGACCTGGACACACTGTCCCTCACCAAAGACCACAACAGCTTTCTACAGCTCCACACTGCACTGGCCTCACACTCACAGGGGCCAGTCCCCAGTCAGGGGCCACTCAGAGGCCAGGAGCCCCTTTGAGGAAGTGACCAGAGCTGTGTCCGAGCTCAGGGAGAGACTGCAGCTCACTGTGGAGGAGGGACGCAGCAACATCTCTCTGGCTCTGAGTCCAGTTCAGTTTTTAACCACAGAACCCAAGACCAGAGAGGAGTTCTTACAATACTCTACAGACTTCACTCTGGACACAAACACAGTGAACACACAACTGTCTCTGTCTGATGGAAACAGAAGAGTGACACGTATGAGAGAACTGCAGAAGTATCCGGATCATCAGGACAGATTCAGTGAGTGGCCTCAGGTCCTGAGCAGAGAGAGTGTGAGGGGCCGCTGTTACTGGGAGGTGGAGTGGAGCTCAGAGGCTTATGTTTGTATCGCAGTTTCATACAGAGATATTCAGAGGAAAGGACGCTCTGATGAATGTTTATTTGGATTCAATGATAAATCCTGGGCCTTGATCTGTCACAAAACCAGTCCTTCATTTATGTTTAACTCAGTGGAGTCCAAAGTGTCAGGTCCGGTCGGGTCCAGAGTCGGGGTTTTCCTGGACCACAGTGCAGGGGTTTTGTCCTTTTACAACGTCTCAGAAAACATGAGGCTGATCCACCGAGAACAGACCACCTTCTCTCAGCCGCTTCACGCTGGAGTCATGATTTACTGGGATTGGAGCCACTGTACATTTCCCTAAACTCAAATAACAGTTTGTTCTCCACAGTTTTACATCAAATTTGTGCTTTTGCTAAAAATCCTTCATGATTCAATTTAATTCAATGTATTTGTGTTTAGCCCTAAGGTAGACCCAGGACTGAGACTGTAGACCCAGGACTGAGACTCTAGACCCAGGACTGAGACTGTAGACCCAGGACTGAGACTGTAGACCCAGGACTGAGACTCTAGACCCAGGACTGAGACTGTAGACCCAGGACTGAGACTGTAGACCCAGGACTTAGACTCTAGACCCAGGACTGAGACTCTAGACCCAGGACTGAGGCTGTAGACCCAGGACTGAGGCTGTAGACCCAGGACTGAGGCTGTAGACCCAGGACTGAGGCTGTAGACCCAGGACTGAGACTGTAGACCCAGGACTGAGGCTGTAGACCCAGGACTGAGGCTGTAGACCCAGGACTGAGACTGTAGACCCAGGACTGAGACTCTAGACCCAGGACTGAGACTGTAGACCCAGGACTGAGACTCTAGACCCAGGACTGAGACTCTAGACCCAGGACTGAGACTGTAGACCCAGGACTGAGACTCTAGACCCAGGACTGAGACTGTAGACCCAGGACTGAGGCTGTAGACCCAGGACTGAGGCTGTAGACCCAGGACTGAGACTGGAGACCCAGGACTGAGACTGGAGACCCAGGACTGAGACTGGAGACCCAGGACTGAGACTGGAGACCCAGGACTGAGACTGGAGACCCAGGACTGAGACTGGAGACCCAGGACTGAGACTGTAGACCCAGGACTGAGACTAGACCCAGGACTGAGACTCTAGACCCAGGACTGAGACTGTAGACCCAGGACTGAGACTGGAGACCCAGAACTGACCCAGGACTGAGACTAGACCCAGGACTGAGACTCTAGACCCAGGACTGAGACTCTAGACCCAGGACTGAGACTCTAGACCCAGGACTGAGACTCTAGACCCAGGACTGAGACTGGAGACCCAGAACTGACCCAGGACTGAGACTAGACCTGAGACTCTAGACCCAGGACTGACACTGTAGACCCAGGACTGAGGCTGTAGACCCAGGACTGACCCAGGACTGAGACTATAGATCCAGGACTGAAATTGTAGACCCAGGACTGAGACTGTAGACCCAGGACTGACCCAGGACTGAGACTAGACCCAGGACTGAGACTGTAGACCCAGGACTGAGGCTGTAGACCCAGGACTGAGACTGAGACTGAACGATGCTTTCTTCCCAGACCCGTGTGGTCCTAAGTGTGTCAGATTGTAAACTGTTTAGTTGATCTTAATATGAACTTCTGTCCTATATTCTATTGTTGTTCCTCATGTGATGTCACTGCTCAAGTCTCTGCTCTGTCGTACTGTAAACCTGATTTTCTCCTTTAAATCCACTCTAATTGTTGTATGAGTTTCTTGTGGACTTTGACTCGTAATTGTAAAGCTCCAGGTCACAGAATGATTAACGCTGGTTTTCGACGGTGAAGGCTTTAAAACCTGCAATAAAAATATGGAATGGATCTGTTTTCGTGAGGCTTGTGTCGAGCTGATGCCAGAAAACTGTAAAAATATGAAGTTTAGAAAATAAGTATAGACACTGACAAACACACACACACACACACACTGGGAATTCACTGAGGCAGAGAACACACACACTACAGTAGTACTCGAGTAGTGGCAGCACATACATAGATGACAGTAGTACTCGAGTAGCAGCAGCACATACATAGATGACAGTAGTACTCGAGTAGCAGCAGCACGTACATAGATGACAGTAGTACTCGAGTAGCTGCAGCACATACATAGATGACAGTAGTACTCGAGTAGCAGCAGCACATACATAGATGACAGTAGTACTCGAGTAGCAGCAGCACATACATAGATGACAGTAGTACTCGAGTAGCAGCAGCACATACATAGATAGTAACTTTACTCTAACATAATACCAGAGTACATGTACAAAGCTTAAGAACACAGACTTTCTTCTGCATTGTTCAGAACCAGTCCAACCACTTTTGGGCCGGGTCAGTGTCAGTCACAAGTCAATCCAGACGCTTCACTTTTGGAGAAAGAATAAAGCTGAGAAGTGTCTCTGAGCGTCCAAAAAACATGTGTGTAGAATGGATTGTTCTAAAACACTTGTTATTGTTAGAGAAAATGAAAGATTTAGATTTGATAGATTCTATGAATGCAGAGAAATGTGTTGAATAAAGACTGAACCAGAAGCAACAAAAGTCATTCTACAGAAAGAAGTTTACTGTGGATTTGAATCAGACACACAACAACAATGAAGACAGTGTCAAAGGTACTGTAGTGTGTGTGTGGGACGTTTGGACACACACAGAGACACACACATAGACACACACACACCTAGACACACACACAGAGACACACACATATAGAAACACACACCGACACACACACACACATATATACACAGGCCTCTCCCTCTCTCCCTCCCCTCCCTCCTCTCTCCCTCCCTCTCTCCCTCTCTCCCTCTCTCCCTCCCTCTCTCCCTCCCTCTCCTCTCCTCCCTCTCCCTTCTCTCCTCTCTCCCTCCCTCCTCTCCCTCTCCCTCCCTTCTCCCTCTCTCTCCTCATAAGTTTCATTTCCGTGTCAGTGAAACTGTAGCAGCAACAGATGTTGATGGTTCCATGTTGTTATATGTGATGTTTTTAGAGTAAAATGTTTGTGTAAAGTTTGGTTTAGTACTTACTGATTTTATTACATAATGTGACAAACATTTCCTGGACTTGAATGTGGTAAAACTCTGGAGCTTGTATTTGATTTCAGAAGAAAAAGAGATCCAGCCCCTTTAAGTATTGTTCATGAGGAAAGGGTTGAGAGAGTCTCCCACTACAAACACCTTGGCTCTATATTGGACGATAGATTTAAATATGACGTCAACACTGCTGCTGTTCTGAAGCGCAGCCGGAAAAGACTTTACCTTCTGCATAAGTTAAACTCCTCTGAAGTCAGCTCCACTTTTCTGTCTCGGTTTTATCAGGTCTTCATTGAGAGCATGTTGTGCTCTATCTGCGGCTTCCTAATCTTTCACACAAAGACTAACATAGTCTTGATAGAATTGTGCACATCTGTTCAAAAGTCAGAGGAGTTGGACAGAAGGAACTGTCCACTCTGTAACCCTCTGGTCTCTCTCTGGTCTCTCTCTGGTCTCTCTCTGGTCTCTCTCTGGTCTCTCTCTCTGGTCTCTCTCTGGTCTCTCTCTGGTGTCTCTCTGGTCTCTCTCTCTTGGTCTCTCTCTGGTCTCTCTCTGTGTCTCTCTCTGGTCTCTCTCTGGTGTCTCTCTGGTCTCTCTCTGGTCTCTCTCTCTGGTCTCTCTCTGGTGTCTCTCTGGTCTCTCTCTGGTCTCTCTCTGGTGTCTCTCTGGTGTCTCTCTGGTCTCTCTCTGGTCTCTCTCTGGTCTCTCTCTGGTCTCTCTCTGGTGTCTCTCTGGTGTCTCTCTGGTCTCTCTCTGGTGTCTCTCTCTGGTCTCTCTCTGTCTCTCTCTGGTCTCTCTCTCTGGTCTCTCTCTCTGGTCTCTCTCTGGTGTCTCTCTGGTCTCTCTCTGGTCTCTCTCTGGTGTCTCTCTGGTCTCTCTCTGGTCTCTCTCTGGTCTCTCTCTGGTCTCTCTCTCTGGTCTCTCTCTGGTCTCTCTCTGGTGTCTCTCTGGTCTCTCTCTCTGGTCTCTCTCTCTGGTCTCTCTCTCTCTGGTCTCTCTCTGGTCTCTCTCTCTCTGGTCTCTCTCTCTGGTCTCTCTCTCTGGTCTCTCTCTCTGGTCTCTCTCTGGTCTCTCTCTGGTGTCTCTCTGGTGTCTCTCTGGTCTCTCTCTCTGGTCTCTCTCTGGTCTCTCTCTCTGGTCTCTCTCTGGTGTCTCTCTGGTGTCTCTCTGGTCTCTCTCTGGTCTCTCTCTCTGGTCTCTCTCTCTCTCTCTGGTCTCTCTCTATCTCTGGTGTCTCTCTGGTCTCTCTCTCTGGTGTCTCTCTCTGGTCTCTCTCTGGTGTCTCTCTGGTCTCTCTCTGGTCTCTCTCTCTGGTCTCTCTCTGGTGTCTCTCTGGTCTCTCTCTGGTGTCTCTCTGGTGTCTCTCTGGAGTCTCTCTCTGGTCATCTCTATCTGGTCTCTCTCTGGTCTCTCTCTGGTCTCTCTCTGGTCTCTCTCTGGTTCTCTCTCTGGTCTCTCTCTCTGGTCTCTCTCTGGTCTCTCTCTCTCTGGTCTCTCTCTCTGGTCTCTCTCTGGTCTCTCTGGTCTGGCTGTGTTCTCTCTCTAGTCTCTCTCTGGTTTCTCTCTCTGGTCTCTCTCTCTCTGGTTTCTCTCTCTGGTCTCTCTCTGATCTCTCTCTGGTCTCTCTCTGGTCTCTCTCTGGTCTCTCTCTGGTCTCTCTCTCTGGTCTCTCTCTCTCTGGTCTCTCTCTGGTCTCTCTCTGATCTCTCTCTGGTCTCTCTCTGGTCTCTCTCTCTGGTCTCTCTCTGGTCTCTCTCTTATCTCTCTCTGGTCTCTCTCTGGTCTCTCTCTTGGTCTCTCTCTGATCTCTCTCTGGTCTCTCTCTGTGGTCTCTCTCTGGTCTCTCTCTGGTCTCTCTCTCTCTGGTCTCTCTCTGGTATCTCTCTGGTCTGGCTGTGTTCTCTCTCTGGTCTCTCTCTCTCTGATTTCTCTCTCTGGTCTCTCTCTGGTCTCTCCCAGGTCTCTCTCTAGTCTCTCTCAGGTCTCTCTCTGCCCTCTCTCTGCTCTCTCTCTCTGCTCTCTCTCAGGTCTCTCTCTGCTCTCTCTCTGCTCTCTCTCTGCTCTCTCTCTGGTCTCTCTCTGGTCTCTGTCTGCTCTCTCTCAGGTCTCTCTCTGGTCTCTCTCAGGTCTCTGTCTGCTCTCTCCCTGGTCTCTCTGGTCTCTCTCTGGTCTCTCTCTGGTCTCTCTCTGGTCTCTCTCTGGTCTCTCTCTGGTCTCTCCCTGGTCTCTTTCTGATCTCTCTCTGGTCTCTCTCTGTTCTCTCTCTGGTCTCTCTCTGATCTCTCTCTCTGGTCTCTCCCTGGTCTCTCTGGTCTCTCTCTGGTCTCTCTCTTGTCTCTCTCTTGTCTCTCTCTTTTCTCTCTCTGGTCTCTCTCTGGTCTCTCTCTCTGGTCTCTCTCTGGTCTCTCTCTGGTCTCTCTCTGATTCTCTCTGGTCTCTCTCTGGTCTCTCTCTGGTCTCTCTCTGGTCTCTCTCTGATCTCTCTGGTCTCTCTCTGGTCTCTCCTCTGGTCTCTCTCCCTGGTCTCTTTCTGATCTCTCTCTGGTCTCTCTCTGTTCTCTCTCTGGTCCTCTCTCTGATCTCTCTCTCTGGTCTCTCCCTGGTCTCTCTGGTCTCTCTCTGGTCTCTCTCTTGTCTCTCTCTTGTCTCTCTCTTTTCTCTCTCTGGTCTCTCTCTGGTCTCTCTCTGGGCTCTCTCTTGTCTCTCTCTGGTCTCTCTCTGATCTCTCTGGTCTCTCTCTGGTCTCTCTCTGGTCTCTCTCTGGTCTCTCTCTGATCTCTCTGGTCTCTCTCTGATCTCTCTGGTCTCTCTCTGGTCTCACAGGAAATAGATCAATAGTTGTCATCCACTGTCCTGTACACACTGCAAAAATTGATTGAAGTGATGACAAAAACCGCTCAAATTTGAATAAATGTTAATGTGTGTTTGTGTCTGCGTGTTGTGTGTCTGCATGTTGTGTGTCTGCATGTTGTGTGTCTGCGTGTTGTGCGTCTGCGCGTTGTGGGGGGGTCTGTGTGGTTTTTTTTGTGTGTTGCAGTTGTATGAAGGGTACGTGGGGCTCCGCTGTGGGATCTTACACTTCACATGAGGTTTCTATAAGTTTTGCCTCATAAATGGTTTGTTTTGTAAATTCCCAAAGAAAAATCCTTCATCCTTCCATACTCATGTAAACTTCAGAGAGAGAGAGAGCCCTGTGAGTCACTATTGGACTCTTTGGGCTGAGAGCTGATTGGCCGAGTGAGACTGGTCCTCTCTCTTTGTCACATGTCTGTCTGAAAAAGCTGGTCTAAAGATGAGACAGAGGACAGAGATAAATACAGGTGAAAACCATAGTGACAGAAGCAAAGCACAGACCATAGAAGTTAAGTACCCGAGCTTTAGTAGTTTCATTATGACATTTATGGCAGTGATCATCGAGGAATTTCCCTGAAGTTTTGGATGAAGAGAGATAAGAAAGAAACTCTACTGGCCCTGATTCTAATGTGGCCTCTGCTCTACTCTGCTCTACTCTGCTCTGCTCTGCTCTACTCTACTCTACTCTACTCTACTCTACTCTACTCTACTCTGCTCTACTCTACTCTACTCTACTCTGCTCTGCTCTGCTCTACTCTACTCTACTCTACTCTACTCTACTCTGCTCTACTCTACTCTACTCTACTCTGCTCTACTCTACTCTGCTCTACTCTGCTCTGCTCTACTCTACTATGCTCTGCTCTGCTCTGCTCTGCTCTTCTCTACTCTACTCTACTCTACTCTGCTCTACTCTACTCTACTCTACTCTACTCTGCTCTGCTCTGCTCTGCTCTGCTCTGCTCTGCTCTGCTCTACTCTACTCTACTGTACTGTACTCTACTCTACTCTACTGTACTGTACTGTACTGTACTCTACTCTACTCTACTCTACTCTGCTCTGCTCTACTCTACTCTACTCTACTCTACTCTACTCTGCTCTACTCTACTCTACTCTGCTCTGCTCTGCTCTGCTCTACTCTACTCTACTCTACTGTACTCTACTCTACTCTGCTCTGCTCTGCTCTGCTCTGCTCTACTCTACTCTACTCTACTCTACTGTACTGTACTGTACTGTACTGTACTGTACTCTGCTCTGCTCTGCTCTGCTCTGCTCTACTCTACTCTGCTCTGCTCTGCTCTGCTCTGCTCTACTCTGCTCTGCTCTGCTCTGCTCTGCTCTGCTCTACTCTACTCTACTCTACTCTACTGTACTGTACTGTACTCTACTCTACTCCACTCTACTCTACTCTACTCTACTCTACTCTGCTCTACTCTACTCTACTCTACTCTACTCTACTGTACTCTACTCTACTCTACTCTACTCTACTCTACTCTACTCTACTCTACTCTGCTCTACTCTACTCTACTCTACTCTACTGTACTCTGCTCTACTCTACTCTATTCTACTCTACTGTACTGTACTGTACTGTACTCTACTCTACTGTACTGTGCTCTGCTCTACTCTACTCTACTGTACTGTACTCTGCTCTACTCTACTCTATTCTACTGTACTGTACTGTACTGTACTGTACTCTGTGCTACTCTACTGTACTCTGTGCTACTCTACTGTACTCTGTGCTACTCTACTGTACTGTACTCTGTGCTACTCTACTGTACTGTACTCTGTGCTACTCTACTGTACTCTACTGTACTGTACTCTACTCTGCTCTACTCTATTCTACTCTACTCTACTCTACTCTACTCTACTCTACTCTACTCTACTGTACTGTACTCTGCTCTACTCTATTCTACTCTACTCTACTCTACTGTGCTCTGCTCTACTGTACTCTGCTCTACTCTACTCTGCTCTACTCTACTGTACTCTCCTCTGCTCTGCTCTGCTCTACTCTACTCTACTCTACTCTGCTGTACTCTCCTCTACTCTACTCTACTCTAATCTACTCTACTCTACTCTACTCTACTCTGCTCTACTCTACTGTACTCTCCTCTGCTCTGCTCTGCTCTACTCTACTCTACCCTTCTCTACCCTTCTCTACTCTACTCTACTCTACCCTTCTCTACTCTACTCTACTCTACCCTTCTCTACTCTACTCTACTCTACTCTACTCTGCTCTACCCTTCTCTACTCTACCCTTCTCTACCCTTCTCTACTCTACTCTACTCTACTCTGCTCTACTCTGCTCTGCTCTGCTCTACTCTTCTCCGCACCATGTAAATCCTTTTAAACTTTAACATTAGCAATAAAAAAGATGAACGATCGAACCTGGAAGCAGATCAAAGCGAGGCCGCACCCCCGGACACGCCTTCGGACACGCCCAGCAGTCACAAAGACTGCCCTGGACCGTTTGATCGAGTTCTAATGGTTTCATAACTGTGGGCCTGACATGAAAACATCCGCTCTCTCCTGCCGTGACCCGGTGCTGTTAGCGCCGTGTGACTGGATCGTAAATCAGTGTCTGTGATTGGAGCAAAAGTCAATAACGCGATAGACGTGTCATAAAGTCAGGAATTTTTACACAAGCCTGAGTTTCGACACACTTTCTCTCTTTGATCTCTCACTGGTCTCTCTCTGGTCTCTGTCTGCTCTCTCTCTGGTCTCTCTCTAGTGTCTCTCTGGTCTCTCTCTGGTCTCTCCTCTGGTCTGTCTCTGGTCTCTCTCTAGTGTCTCTCTGGTATCTCTCTGGTCTTTCTCTGGTCTCTCACTAGTCAATCTCTGGTCTTTCTCTGGTCTCGCTCTGGTCCCTTCTCTCTGGTCTCTCTCTGGTCTCTCTCTGGTCTCTCTCTGGTCTCTCTCTGGTCTCTCTCTGGTCTCTCTCTCTGGTCTCTCTCTGCTCTCTCTGGTCTCTCTCTGCTCTCTCTCTGGTCTCTCTCTGGTCTCTCTCTGCTCTCTCTCTGGTATCTTTCTGGTATCTCTCTGGTCTCTTCTCTCTGGTCTCTCTCTTGTCTCTGTCTGCTCTCTCTCTGCTCTCTCTCTAGTGTCTCTCTGGTGTCTCTCTGGTCTCTCTCTGGTCTCTCTCGGCTCTCTTCTCTGGTCTCTCTCTGGTCTCTCTCTCTGGTCTCTCTCTGGTCTCTATCTGCTCTCTCTCTGGTCTCTCTCTGGTCTCTCTCTGGTCTCTCTCTGGTCTCTCTCTGCTCTCTCTCTGCTCTCTCTCTGGTCTCTCTCTGGTCTCTCTCTGCTCTCTCTCTGGTCTCTCTCTGGTCTCTCTCTCTGGTCTCTATCTGCTCTCTTTCTGGTCTCTCTCTGGTCTCTCTCTGGTCTGTCTCTGGTCTCTCTCGGCTCTCTTCTCTGGTCTCTCCTCTGGTCTATCTGTGCTCTGTCTCTGGACTAATGAGTGCTTAATAAATACCAAATTAAGAGCGAATTCACCATAAATCATACGCTATTTAGCATTTTATTAGCTGTGAACAACTTTGGGCTAAACTACAGTATGACATAAAGCTACTTCATTTTCAACACACTTTTTTATTGATCCTATAAATGGAAATATTGTGTACGCTCTTTTCTCGACCTTTTTTAAAACTAAAAAATCCACACAGATTAGATCTCCTTTCTTCTCGGTCAAAACAGCGAAGCGTCAATGGGGAAAGTCCTGCACAAAGAGTGACCTGATGATAAGGATTGTTCGGCCTTTGTGTGCTCTCTCTTTGTAGTTACCGCTCCCATAAGAACTTCCTGGCGTCGTATCTTGGAAGCAGTGGAACTCTGAAAGAACAAGAGAAACTCCAGAAAGTCCCCAGTGAAGCCGTCGTCTGATGGTGTCGCGTTAGAACAGGTTTGGGTTTCTCTTTTTTTCATGTTTGACCTTGTTACACACATTAGCATGAGCAGAGTTAACTAAAGCACCATTCAATACAAGAGAATACTGCGGAAAACATGAGAAAGGCTCTGGTCTCTCTGGTCTCTCTCTGGTCTCTCTCTGGTCTCTCTCTGGTCTCTCTGGTCTCTCTCTGGTCTCTCTCTGGTCTCTCTCTGGTCTCTCTGGTCTCTCTCTGGTCTCTCTCTGGTCTCTCTCTGGAATCTCTTTGGTCTCTCTCTGGTCTCTCTTTGGTCTCTCTTTGGTCTCTCTCTGGTCTCTCTCTGGTCTCTCTTTGGTCTCTCTTTGGTCTCTCTCTCTCTCTCTGGTCTCTCTGATCTCTCTCTGGTCTCTCTCTGGGCTCTCTTTGGTCTCTCTCTCTCTCTCTCTCTGGTCTCTCTTTGGTCTCTTTTTGGTCTCTCTCTCTCTCTCTCTCTCTCTCTCTCTCTTTGGTCTCTCTCTCTCTCTCTCTGGTCTCTCTCTCTGGTCTCTCTCTCTGGTCTCTCTCTCTCTCTCTCTCTCTCTGGTCTCTCTCTCTCTGGTCTCTCACTCTCTGGTTTCTTTCTGGTATCTCTCTCTGGTCTCTCTCTCTGGTCTCTCTCTCTGGTCTCTCTCTCTCTGGTCTCTCTCTCTCTGGTCTCTCTCTCTCTCTGGTCTCTCTCTCTCTGGTCTCTCTCTCTCTGGTCTCTCTCTCTCTGGTCTCTCTCTCTCTGGTCTCTCTCTCTGGTCTCTCACTCTCTGGTTTCTTTCTCTGGTCTCTTTCTGGCCTCTCTCTGGTCTCTCTCTGGCCTCTCTCTGGTCTCTCTCTCTGGTCTCTCTCTGGTCTCTCTCTCTGGTCTCTCTCTGGTCTCTCTCTGGTCTCTCTCTCTGGTCTCTCTCTGGTCTCTCTCTGGTCTCTCTCTGGTCTCTCTCTGGTCTCTCTCTCTGGTCTCTCTCTCTGGTCTCTCTCTCTGGTCTCTCTCTGGTCTCTCTCTCTGGTCTCTCTCTCTGGCCTCTCTCTGGTCTCACTCTGGTCTCAAAGTCGTTTACTATAAGACAAGCTGGAGTTTGAAGACATCTCATGAATCCTTACAGACAATATCAAAACAAAAACAGTTTTCTCTCTTTTACATGTTAATCAATAGGAGCTGGATCCCCGGCCCTGAGCACTTCCCCATCGGCCGTCGTTGAGCTAACCAGTTAGCATTGTCCAATTATAAACACACTTGCCACAACCTCTCGTACAGATCCCACTCTCTGCTCCTCCCAAACCTGGTCTAAACCTGGTCTAAACCTGGTCTAAACCCATCCAGGACTCATCCACTCCGCTCCCAGTCATTTCT